GTAAACTAGATTTCATGATATATAGGACGAGGACGTGCCCATTTCATGATTTTAAGTACTGAAATTAATTTCTAAGGTCAAGAGCACGACAAGATCAGATTCTTAATACTGCGAAAGAAAGTTGCAACAATCACGGTTATCTTAGGCGACCTACCATCTGATAACCTCTCGATTCAGGTAAAATATATGCGACCGAGGTAAAAGAAAGGACGTTGAGTCATATAAGATAACCTATACTTCGTTTGACCTTAGGTCCAATCTCGGCCGATGTTAGGAGCCGAAGGGCCAATCAAGCAGCGCAAAAAAAACGCAATGTTAAGGCGTGCTTTCTGCGCTTGATAGGACTAGCCGGCGGAGGAGCACGCACACAGAGACGGCGAATACCGCCTGGTCCTATCAACTGCAGTAAGCACGCCATGACTTTGTGCTTTCTTTCGCTGTTTGAATGGCACTTCGGCTCATAACATCGGCCGTGCTCGAACCTAAACTGAAGGGAAGTATAGCTGTTATTTTACTGTTTCATCGAAATTAAATAACAAAATTTATTTTTGTTACCTGAAAATAAAAGTGGATTATACGAATGGTAAAAAGCTGTATAGATACTCGTTTCACTGCTAAAAGGGTGCCTACTGCCCCCCCCCCCCCCCCCAAAAAAAAAAGAAAAAAAAATCGCGGAAAATATATATATTTTTTTTAATGGTTCAAACCGGCTCTAACCGGTTCAAACCGGTTCGAATCGTTATTTTTGCTCCCCGGAACTGAACCAGAACTGAACCGAAAGCCGTGAACCCGAACCGAAAGCGATCGGTTAAAAAATTCGGTTCGACACTCTGCATGAAACACTCTAGCATTCGAGACGTTTCTATCATCGTTTAGCGGCACGTCTAGCTGGTTCATGCAGACGCGTGCTTTCACGGCGCTCTTCATCAAATAGTTCAAGCGAAAACTAAAGAGGTTCCGTATTTGAGAAAAAAAAATCCATTTAAATCGTCTTCATTTGGCCTCCAGGATTATAAGTATTAAAATTATATTTCAGATTGATGGGCCAAGTAGCCACAACAGCGCTTTCAAAATAGCGCTGAGGCCCCTCCTTCCCGCCGCGTTCGGTGCGAGAAGGGAATCATGACGTGTTATAGAGGGATCTCGACATTTCCGCACTCTCCGCAGGCCTTACCCGAGCAGTCAAAAGCGCAGCTCCCGTTCCCTCACAAGCGGCACGCGCGAGGCTGACGCAAGGCAGCTGAAACCTCTGAGCTTGACGCCACACCCAGCGGTCAGGTTTTCGGTTCTTCAAATGCTTGTGATATTGAAATTCACAGAGCAAAAATACGCCACAATTTACGTCTAACTAGTTTCTTCCTTTTCCTTTTTTTCAAGAGCCTCTTCAGCTTTACGTTCACTCTGGCATATAGACCCTTTTCAGCAGCTGTTCATGGGCGCCGCCATAAGTGACCTTCAGTTTTTGTTTCCTTTTATTTTGATCATTTCCATCCATCATTCCCCCAGCAGGACAGGTTATTGCCATTTTAGATCCGACTGTGTCCTTCTCCCCAGCAATGGCCTTTGTGGAGGCTCCTCAAAGCGCGCTTCAGTGGCTTGGTATCTCGGTAAGACAAGAGAAGGTCAGTAATGGCGGCTGCAATATAGCTCGTGTGCAAAGCGTCTATATGTACACCTGAAATGATAAGCCTGGTGATTTTCACAACCTTCTAACCCCCTCCTCCTCTCCCACCTCGCCTCCTCGCCTACCTCGTTTCCCACTCCCCTCCAGGTCCCATGACCTCCCCGTTAACCATTCAGTGTCAAGCATCTCACTCCCCCTCTCCCACCCGTCAACGAATCAATGTCGAGCCTCGCGGTCACGCTTTTATTGAGGTTTCACTTTTGGGCTTCACGCACACATAGGCAAAAAAAAAAAAAAGTTTCACGTTAATATTAACAAAAAAAAAAAAAAAAAAACCACGGCATTTTTAAGCGCGTTTGTGTTAGGTAGCCGTGTGTGACTAGTCCTCAGAATGGGCAGTCTTGGCGAGGCTGACCGCAAAGTTGCGAATAACACGGTACACAGACGTAGTGTGTTGAAAAATTTCTATTCCATAAAGCAATATATTACGCAAACACCACCAGAAAATAAAAACTCACGTTGTGCACTTTTTTTTTGGGGGGGGGGGGGGAGGGGAGGGAGGAAGAAGAAAAAAACCCAACCACCCCCCCTTCCCCCCCAGAAAAAGAAAAAAAAAAACACTAATGGTGTTGTTACTAACTACGACGGTGAGAAGTGAACACAAATACAGAACTTAAGAAAACACATGCCAATCTCATGATTCGGAAAATAATGAGCTGAGTGCTTTCTGGGTTTGTCGGAAAATCATGGAGGTTTTGTTAGGAAAATGACTTTAAGTGTAAAAGTACAAATGTTATATCAAGTATTGTGACTGTCTTCTCATTTACGACTTCACAGGCTAAATACTGCGAGAGGAAGTGAAAGAGAGAGACCAGACGTTTTTTTACTGGTCTAGTCTCACTACTCCTCGCCCAGCAAGTCTTTGACATGCTGAACGAGAAGTGGTCAGAGGATTACTTTAATTCAGATTACTTCGGTTCCGGTAGGCGGAGTGGCCCATTCCTCCCAGCTAACTCCCAGCTGGGGTAGCATTATGTGCTACTCCCAGCTTACGTCCCTAAAAATTTCTTGAGAATATCGCGCGTCTTTACTCCGATGTCCCCTCCAATGTCCCGGGCTAGAGTCTCTCAGAAAGGGCTGGCCGTGTTACTCGAGTTCTGGCTGCTACCTTGGGGCAGTCCCATAGCTAATGAGCATTACTGGGGTACTGGCTGCAGGGACTGCATTGGGGTGTGTTTCCTGCGTCGCTATTTTGTGGTATTTTGTCATTTGGGTTCGAGTCCGCGTTCCGCGCACCACATTGAGATATCCTCTGTTTAATATGTCAGGAGGGATGTTTAGTAAAGTTTCGTTTTCTCTCAGCTCTTTGAGCGTCTTCGTTTTTTGGTTGTGCATAGGTGCATAGATGTTCTACGAATGTAGGGTTTATTGGATGGGACCATGGGATGGGGCGGCATAGATTAGGGTTTCCGCGCGTGAGCTCGTCGCCCCCTATGCCCTTGTGCCCCGGTATTCATTCCACGGTTACTGTGGTGATGGGATGTTTAGTCCTAGTGTCTCTTAGCATAAGCATGAGGTGGGAGCAAAGGAGACGAATACACCTCCCGGGTTCTGGCGTATCTTTTGCACTTTCGCCTCGTTGTTTCGTGAAGTCGCTCGTAGTACAAAAGGCGTGTTTATCCTAGCCAGGTGTGAGCTGGAGTTTGGGTCGAAGCCAATCAGGATCCGGCCAGTGCCAGCAGTGCGCCGACGCGGACGAAAAACCCTGTGCGGTTGATTGAAAGGGCTCCGCGTGAACGCGTGTTACTGAATAAAACCGCAGTAGAATATCCCATTTATACGCACGTGGGTTGGAATTCTGGCAATGAAAACGTATGGAATAAAATAAATACCTAAAAACAACCGCGTAGCGTTATTAAGGCTAAAAAAACACAGCAAAAGTCACCTTATATTGAATTCTTTTTTTTGTCTTCTCGTTTTTTCAGCAGGGTTTTATTTCAAAGCACACATGTTAGCACAGTGAGGCCCGAGAACAGGATACAGCCGAGCCTACCGCGGTAATGTTAGAAGCTTCGACGTATTGGTCTTTTTAATGGAAGACCAGATGTATGCGACGGAAATGTTTTAATCATGGTAAATGCGACGCTGTATACTGTAACATCTCGTTTATGATTGAAGCTTGGGTTATTCACTCCTTTCTTTTTTATATGATTTTTTTTACACGAGCATGGCTTTGATATAAGGGATAACGCCAAGTATACCCCATTAGCAGCGCCAAGCGTGCATATGATCACGGCGGCGCGGCACTAGTTGTCGATGTGCTTTTGCCTGTCCCCCGGCTAAACCAAACAGGCGCACCGTGAATGCCCCCATAAACCTGCGCTTATATATCTCTTTTTCTGTGTGCGTGATTGTTATAGTTGGTAATATAGCGACCGCTCAAAGACGACGATCGCCGTTACGATGCACTTTTGGCGCTGCATGCTTGGCTCCACCGGATAGTATAGACCAACTAAACTCCCTGACGTCACGCGACAATGGTTGCGCTGCTGTCGGTACTGCGCATGTGCAGACGCTTCGCTCCTCCCAATTTCGGTTTCTGCTCACGCACAGTGCTCACACCTGGTGTCGGCAAAGCGGCCTTGTTTGTAAACATTGTCTGCGATCGGACTCGGAGTGAAACGAAGTGTCGTCTTTAGATACTACGCGCATAAAACAGTTATTAAGACATACGTAAGATTTTATTTGGGAGGCCGAGTTCCCCATCTTTCACCATACAAAAACAGAAAAAAACCACGAGCAGAAAATAAAAAAGGAGACTGAGAGTTGACAGGAAAATGCTTCAATTTTTCAAGCGTAATATTGACTCGTCGAACCAAACTAAACGCTTAGAAATAAATTACCATCGACTTTTTGTTTTTTAAAGTGCTACAATGAAGAAAATGCTGAATTTTAGAACATTTATATCATTTATAATTGTTTAAAACATGTTAGACTTTAGCGTGCCGATCTGTGCAGCTGGAGGATTTTGTGTTGTTGTTGTACACTTTCATGGAGAGAAAGAAACATGTTTCGATTTGACGACCTTACTGCGAAACCATTTCAGTCCCAAGAACCCCGTGATCGCCGAGCCGTGCAAATTTAATTGTAACCTGGCGCGAAAGGATGCGCCCACAGCTGGCTGCAGCTACGATATGAAACAGACATTCGTCTGCTTTAGAATTCATTTTATCAAACAAAACACGTTCGCTTGTTTCTAAAAACTGCTCCGTCGCTCGTATATTTCGCTGAAATTATTATTTATCGCGATTATCCCGCTTGTCGCCAGCGTCCCTGTTCTATCGCAGCATCGCAGGCAGACAGGCTCTCCGGGTAGCTGGAACGTATTGAACTTTTATTACGGCCAGACAGTCTGTTTTATAGACGTAAGCAAGAGTGACGTAATAACGTTGGGCGAATCACATGCGACCTTTACAGATATAACATTCCTTCCGCCTTTAAAACCGCCATACATTTCATTACGGTCGAGTCTACTTGGCTTGACGACGAAACTCGTACGATTGGTAGCGGTCCGGTGCTTTCCGGGTCCGGCTTCCTCTTCGAAGCGTTGTTGCTGTGGAAGACGCAGAGGCAGATCCGTCGCCTTGATCTTGCTGAGCAGCTGCAGGAGGCTCGGAGGCAGAAGCGTTGTGTTGAGTGTGCTGTCGATCATCGGGCTCAGGCACCTCGAGGAGCTGCTCTGGGTGTGGAACCGAGCCGGTGCCTTGACTCGGGAGCTCAGCGGCGTGGAACCTCGGAGCAGGAGATTCCGCCCTGGGTAGTTGACCAGCGCGGCTGCCCTCCGGGACTGCTTCCGTTGTGGCGCTCGGTGTTGGAGCTGGGATCTCAGGAAAAACAGACCCAGTCGAAGAAGCCCAACTTGCACGGAGATGGTCCATATGGATGAACCGTGTTCGATTATTCACATTCACCAAATATGTAGTGGGGCTCACAACTTGAGTTACCAGCCCTTCTTCCCAGGACACTTCCTCGCCTCTAGTCGTTTTTACAAGTACTTTGTCACCTGCTATAAACGACTCTTCCCGACCTCTCCGGCCGTTTCGTAGTGCAGTTTCGCGTTCTTGCTTAGTCCTCATGTCTCCTGCAAAGTTTGGTCGTATCAGTGAAAGCAGTGTACGAGGTTGACGCTTCAAAAACAGTTCTGCTGGGGTCTTCCCAGTAACGGCGTTTGGTGTATTCCTGTACGCCAACAAAAAATCGTTTACTCGTTCCAGAATAGTCCTTTTCCCCCCCGGTGATTTGATCATGTCTTACTTGTTTCAACAGGGTAGTCTTCGTAGTTTGTACCAGGCGCTCAGCGGCTCCATTCGAGGCTGCGTGATACGGTGGTATCCGGGTATGTTTTATGCCATGCCGCTGCAGGTAGACCCCAAAGTCCTCTGCGGTGAATTGTGGGCCGTTGTCGCTCACCAACTCTTCTGGGTAACCGTAGGCTGCAAAAACAGAGCTGAGGCACCGCACAGTTTTTTCAGTGGTCGTGCTTGACACTACAAACACTTCAATCCACTTTGAAAAAGCATCCACCAACACAAGAAAGTTCAAGCCCTCCTTCGTTGCGTAGTCGACGTGTATCCGTTGCCATACGCGACTTGGATACGCCCAGGGCTGCAGGGGTCCTGGCGGTTTTGCTGGCAGAACACTTTGGCATACCTTACAGTGACGAACTCTCGTTTCAATGTCGCCGTCCAAAGTTGGCCACCAAACGAACGACCTAGCAAGCATCTTCATCCGCGTCATTCCGGGATGTTCTTCATGCAAGAGTGTCAATACTTGCTCTTGGAGGGTTAAAGGGACGATAACCCGCTGGCCCCATGACAGACAGCCCTGTTCCAGGGAAAGTTCGTTGCGGCGGACGTAGAAAGGCCTCAGTTCCTCGGAGACGGACGATGGCCAGCCGTTTAAAGTGAAGTCAGCAACCGCTGATAAAACGCGGTCGCGCTGTGTAGCAAGTGCCACCTCTTTCGCAGTTAACGGCGTAGCCGCAAATAAAGCAAAGCATTCTTCCTGTTCTTCCGCAGCTGGAACAGGGAGCGGGAGGCGCGATAAAGCGTCGGCCACTTCCATGTTTTTGCCTTTGCGATACTTTAAGCTATACTGATAAGCAGATAGCGTGACTGCCCAACGCTGCATCCTAGCAGCCGCTAGTGACGGGATAGGCTTGTCTGGAGCCAAGATTCCAAGAAGCGGTTGATGGTCCGTGAATAAGCAAAACTTCCTGCCATACAGGTATCTGTGAAACCGTCGCAATGCGAAAATTATGGCAAGGGTTTCTTTCTCTCCTTGCGCGTAGTTTCGTTCGGCAGTGCTCAACGTGCGCGAAGCAAAAGCTATGGGTTGCTCGCTTCCATCTGGCAAAATGTGAAAGATAACGGCCCCCAGGCCGTACGCTGACGCATCAGAACTCACTCCTATCGGTCTATTGACGTCGTAGTACGTCAATACCCGACTGTTCAAAAGAAGCTGCTTCGTTGTTTCAAAGGCTTTTGCACATGCCTTTGTCCATTTCCAATGACGGTCTTTTTTGAGGAGCTCGTACAAGGGTGCAGCTGCCGTTGCAAAGTTCTCAAGAAATTTCCCGTAAAAGGTCAACAACCCCAAGTAGGCTCTTAGCTCTGTAACATTTGTCGGCTCTGGGGCAGAAATGATAGCCTTTACCTTGGTGTCGGTTGGGTAGATCCCTTCTGCCGAAACCTTGTGTCCGAGGTAAACCACGGAGTCCTGGAAGAACCTGCATTTGTCTTCCTTCAGGGTAATGTTATACTTCTGTAAGCGTTGCAGCACTTTCTCCACGGTAGCTTGGCAAGTTTTCATGTCGGTTCCTGTAACGATAACATCGTCAATATAGCATCCGACTCCCGGAATGCCCTGGAAGACCTGGTCCATCAAAGACTGAAAAATCGCCGGTGCGCTGGCGATTCCGAAAGGCAAACGCTGATACTCAAAGAGCCCTAGGTGAGTGTTGACCGTCAGCAGGCGTTTGGATTTCTCGCTCAGGGGCACTTGCTGATATGCAGACGAAAGGTCCAGCACACAAAAGACTTTTCCCCCAGCCAGTGTCGCAAACAAGTCTTCGGGCCGCGGCAGGGGGTAAACATCCATCTTGAGCACGGGGTTAACTGTTACTTTATAGTCACCACAAAGTCTAATGCCCCCTCCTGCTTTCTTCGGCACAACCACCAAGGGTGTAGCCCAGTCGCTTTTAGTGACGTGCTTCAATATTCCACGCTCTTCGAGCCTGTTCAGCTCTTTTGCTACCTCGTCCTTAAGAGCAAAGGGAATAGGTCTCGCTTTGCAGAAAACCGGCTGACTGTTTTCCTTAACCGCTATGTGGGCTTCATAATTTTTGACAATGCCCGGCGAATCCCTGAAGGGCTCAGGGAACTTCTTCCGCAACGCAGCTACCTTGTCGGGCGCCGTGACAAGGCACACTGCATTCCAGTTAATTTTAAGGTGCTCGAGCCAACTCCTACCCATCAACACTTGCATTTTCTTATCATCGTTCTGCACAACAAAAAGCGGTAGAGTCAGGCTTTGTCCCTCGTAGTCAACTTTTACATTCGCCTTGCCAACTACTGGCACCTTCTCTCCAGTATAAGTTTTCAGCGACACATTAGTTTGGTCGCAATGGACGTGGGGAAACTTTTCTTTAAACAAACTCTGAGGCATCAGGGTTACTGCTGCCCCGGTATCCAAAATCATTTCCACCGGTGTTCCTTCAACAGAAACGCTGACGCTGTAACCGGGTATCTTTTCTTTCGCGAAGAACACCACGTGGCTTTCTATGTCATCAGATTCGCTGTCAGTAGTTTCTACTGCTTTAACCCGGTGACTCCGATGTTTAGTTCGACACATTACTTGTAAGTGTCCAGTCTTAGAACAAGCCTTACATTTATACGTGCGGTACCAGCACTTATCAGGCTCATGACCCTTTCCGCAGCGATAGCATGTACTCGCTTTTCCCGAAGCGTTTTCTTGATTAACTTGGCGCTCCTTCGTTGGCTTGCCTGATTTTCTCTTGTTAACGGCATTTATGGTACCCGCGGGCCCGTCAGGCGCGTGCATTTGCTTTGTCTGCTTTGCGGCTAGTTCTTTCTCTAGGGCGATTTTGCAAGCCTCTTCGAACGACAGTGGCGCAGTTGCGAACAAAATCCTTTGGGTCTCTTCATCACGTAGTCCGGCCACCAGCCTATCGCGTAAAGCGTCGTTTAAGAAAGTTCCGAAAGAACAGTTCCTCGACAAGTGCTTGAGTTCTGTAATGAATTCTTGCAAGCTTTCTCCGTCACGTTGATGTCGGCGATTAAACTGACACCTCTCGGCAATTACGGAGTATCGCGGGCTGTAGTGGTCCTCTAAGAGTCTTTTTACTTCAGCATACGATTTCGCGGTAGGGATGTCTGGTACGACAATCTTTCTTAGCTCTTCATACGCCTGTGGGCCAAGCACGTTCAGAAACAGTTTCAGTTTTTTTTTCTTCGGGTACGTCGTTAATGTCGACGTAATTGTCGAACCGCTCGAAGTAAGACTTAATGTTGTCAGTCTTCGGATCAAATTCCCGCATGCTACCGAGCCTTTGAAAATGCCCTGCCGGTGGCTGCGTCATGTTCCGGCGGATTGTTTCCACTTATCTTTTTTCACGGTGTTTCGTCTGGTCCTTTCCGCTGGCCGTGCTGGAGCCAGCTGCCGACTAACGATGACTGGCGGTTCAGGCCCTGTTGCGTTGCCGGCGCGTCGGGGAATGTGCTGATCCTTTATCCCATCTTCGTCGCCAACTTGTTCTATCGCAGCATCGCAGGCAGACAGGCTCTCCGGGTAGCTGGAACGTATTGAACTTTTATTACGGCCAGACAGTCTGTTTTATAGACGTAAGCAAGAGTGACGTAATAACGTTGGGCGAATCACATGCGACCTTTACAGATATAACAGTCCCCTATGGCGTTTTCATCGTCTTTGCGTTCAGCACTCCATCTTCGAGCGACCTCGCAAACCTGTGTACAGGCTACAAGCAGGCCGATGCAGGACCAACAAAAGGCACGGCCACAGCTTTAATGCGGTATGGGCTGAATTTCACGTGAAAAGCGCCGCACTCGGGTATGGCGAAAAATTGTCAAACGCAGGTCAAGGCAACATAAAGCTCGAATAGCACACAGCAGTCAACGCACATCAAAGGCACACTTAGTCCTAAAATTCGTACGTAATCATGACTAGGCACCAATGATCGCGACCAGAGATATTCACCAAGGGACTCAGCGTGAATTGAACCCCGGAACATGCGAGCCTCAGTCCGACGTCTTCTCTCGGCGCCGAAAGAAGGAGATGAAAAAAAGCGCCAGCAGCTGGACGAAGGATGACTTACCACCGATGGTCGTCTGCAGCAGAACGCGACTGTCTGCGGCCAGTGATGCTTAGATCAGCATACATAGTACGCAGGCGACCGTCGGTGGCAAGTCATACTAAGACCAGCATAATTAGCATACAAGCGATTGTTGGTGTCCAGATATATTTAGTCCAGCATACTTAAGGGGTGTCTAGACAGGACACTACTAAACGCACGACTCCGACAAATCGTGAAAATTGAAGCCGACGCGCCCGCTTCAATTTCCACGATTTGTCGGAGTCGTGCGTTTTGGAGTGTCCTGTTTGGACACCCCTTTAGTCCGCCTGTGACAGTCGGCGACGGGTCAAACTTAGTCCTGAATAATTTGTCGGCAGATGACTGTGGGCTGCCATTCATAAGGAGTCCTCCATAATTGGACTGCAAACGACCCTCGGCAGCGAGTTCAGTATACTTAATACTTAGTCCAGCATACTTAGTACTCAGACGACCGTCGAAGGCAGGTCCTACTAAACCCGGCATACTTAGCCAGCAGGTGACTGTTGGCGGCGAGTCATATTTAGACCAGCATGCTTAATCCACAGACGACCGTTGGCGCCGAGCGATATATACTTAGACCAGCATACTTTGTACGCAGGCGACTGTCGGTGGCGAGTTATTCGCGGCGGGAATTTTTAGAATCGCCATCTAGCGGAGGCCCGGCACAACCCAAAGTGAGGGCTCCTCCTACACCGCCAGGTCTGAACGGATGTTCTTTCAGCCTTGCTGTCTCGCTCGTAACTTCTTATGTTGTCTTTTATTCTATAACACGCTTTCTGCATTCGCGCGACTACAGATTCCGCGTCTGCCAGGTCGGTCTTGATCGCAAGCTTCAGTGATTCTCGCTGGAGTGGTTTTCCTTGTCCAGGGAAATGCACGGTAAGGATTACTTATTTTAGGTTCCTTAATGTTTAGAAATTATGGTTACAAATTTTTCTTGGCAGTTTCAGGAAAATTTCTCGTCCCACTTTTTTAGAGAACAATTAATGGCACAACTGTTGTACATGTTTTCACCCTTCTGGTAAACTTACTAGTTTTCTATGCCAATTGATGGATCTTTAAAATACCAGGGGCAGTATTCCACCCGTTTTCTTTTACAAACATGCTTGACCTTTACAAGCTTGGCGAAATCAACACCAGCACAATGTTTACCATTTTTGTATTTACAGTGAAGTATTGGACTCCCAGGATATAAAGTGTAGATGACTTTGAGTCTTTACAGAGTTGATGCATAAAGATATGTTGCAATGTGAAGATGCACGCAGTTTAAAATCCTAGCTTGAATAATATAGATAGTGCACACAATGACATAGGCAAGCTTCTGGTAAAATTTATCTTGTCAAACTATCCTTATCAACGAGTAACATTGCTAAGATCGTGCGTTTTAACTGACAATTAGTGCGCTGGTGCGAACGATGAACATGGTGCGGTTGGTTGGTTGGATCGAAGCCTATTCACATTGTTAAATGAGGGAACTGTTGGATCCCATTTATCCACATAGATCATACTTGTAGCAGACATAAAAAGTACATTCGATATATTAAATAACTGAAAATTACTTTTAATTGTTATTAAGGCTAGAAAAACCATCCTCGGTGCACCTTTTATTTTTTATGATTGCCGCAGTATTGTAGTCGGAAATGCGGGCCAAACCACCGGGGTGCACAAATGGTATGCAGCCAAGCCTGCTGGCGTAATTTTAAGTTTACGCAATATTGGTCTCCTTACTTAAAAACCGGAGGAGTGTTTCTGAACATTTCAAACTTGGTTAATCAGATACAGACTTGTAGCAGTTTTCCGACGCATCCTGCCGTTGAATATTTGTTCGGTTTAATAATTTATTTATTTACTCGAGTGTGTCTTTTATAGAAGCAATACTAAAAACAAAACGTAAACTAGTTTTAACTACATACGTAGACAAAGCGCAGAATATATGCTGTTTGAGGTCCAATATAATGTAATATAGTACAGTATTATTATGATGATTATTTCGCATGCTAAATTGACTTCCTAAGTTATAGAATTTCGACAGTATTGCTGAGGATAATCAGGGATAGATTTATAAACACTGCAAAGATTTTAGTCCTCATATAATGTCCCCATAGATGACCAAATATAAAATACTGCTTGCGTAAATATCATTGGACTAAAGCGTGGAAGTGAGACACGCACCTTTCTATGGCAGACAATAAGTCTTTAGAGCAGACCAATACGAAGTTGTGGTTCTGAAAAGGTTGAGCTGAAAAACTTCTTAATTTGTGGAAAAACCATGAGCTTGTTACATAAGTGCAAATCATTTTAGAGACACTAGCGTAAAGTCTCAAAACGTCAATGTCTTCCTGTTTCTTATCACACATAAACAACCAAAAGCGTGTTCAGAATTCAGCTTCGATGTTGCAGAAATCGTTTCCAGGAGATACCATTATCGTAAAGGCACTTTTTTATGCTCATCTGTAAGCGACTGTGTCGGCTAAACTGCGCAAGGGAGACCTAAACACAGAAAGATAAGAAAATGGTCGTGCATTTTTTATGATGTGGAAAATTCTCGTTTATATTAGTGTATCAATGTCCTGTGTACCTATGGGATGGTTGGATTTTGAGACATCAACGTCGATAAGCACCGTCCTTCTGCTGGCCGGAGTGTCCAAACACTCTGTGAACTGTTTAGATTTTCTGTTCGTAATAAAGATGCTCGAATGTAGTATGAGGAAGATATGTTTATTGTGACGTTAGTTTAAAGCGAAACATTGCAATGTGGTTGGCGTAAAGTGCGGAGAAATCTGCTAGACGCTATTAGGATGAATGTATTACTCATGTGTCGCAAGTGGCCGACATGGAAGGCGAATGTGTGACCACACACTCTGGAAATACGACAGTCGATGATACATGCTGAGGTGCGTATTCAACTGGAGATACAATCTAGTGATATTGATAAAAAACAACTGAAAAAATTACACAAGGTCGAAAAATCGAAAAAATTGTTTATTCAGCTTGATTACTCGTGTCAATTGTGCAATGAGACTTGGTTCTTCTACAGAAGAAACTTCACGGTGCACTTGATCTTGGTTACAAAATAAAGAAACCTGCCATGAAATTAGCTCTTTTCAATGCTGGGAGTGCATTTTTGTCCTGATGAATGAACAGCCTGATTTTCAGATTTTTATAGTAACTGGAAACTTCTGGCATCCGACAGTTTTCCCGCCGTCTTGTACCTCGAACATGAGGTTGATAGTTCCATTCTGTAAAGACCGGTGCGAAATAAAGAGATTCAAATTTCGCGTGTTAAGGGCCAGAAGAAGTGAAGTTGAGTATAGTAGTACTGAATACAATTTCTTCGTGAGATGGCGTGTTTAGGGCAAGATTTCTGCATATTTACCTCAAATTATTGGTGGGGGGGGGGGGCGGGGGGGGGGGGGGGGGGAGGCCGCCGCGAAGATTCGTAGTAAGACTGTCAGGTACGGAAAGAAAGGGATACAATTTAGCTGGAAATCAATCCTGCAGAGACAGCGCTGGCCATGGGGAAGAAGGAAGAGGTGTCTCAACAAGGCCAGCCTAGAGCCAATAAATGAGCTGTGCTTAGAGTATTGGTACTCCGTTACTCGACATTGTTGTGGCCGCCGCCATTTTGGCTCGTATGCAGAGCAGACGCAACTGCCGATCGTCATAATTCAAAAGTGCGACTTCCTCATCAATAAATTTGGTGTTAGCAAGGTCATGTAATATTGCTCTGATCGGTCGCGAACTGTTTAAACATTTGTGGAGGGCGGAGAAACGTTTCCTGTGATTTCAGATAAAGCTTCAGATAACTGGCAACCATGATTTTCAGCCACAATATGGCCAAGTGTCGTTGCTCTCAAGCGTAGCTCATTTAGGGGCACTGGGCCAGCCAAGGCGGCAGAAGTTTCTCGGGCTCGACGTATTTCCCGGCAGGAGCACTGTCCGTTTAAGGAAAGTTAAACAGGACACGTAAACAGCAGCAAACAGCACGATTTTGCTTCTCTTTCCTAGGTGTCATCTCTTCTCTTTCCTTGTCTTCGGGAGATTGGGGACCGACAACAACAGCGGAGGTGGTGACGTCTGCTAGCAGAGCGCATAGTGGCTATCCCCATCTACATGATGAGCAAGCTGTAAGCCTCTGTTCAAGGACGCAAGCGGAAAGAAGCTTTCCTGCTGTCAAGTGTAAAAATGGTTTTCTTGATTTTCTAGATGAAAGCTAAAACCAGAATACTTTTATGCTGTGTTTCAGATTAGTAAAATGTGGAATTACTTATGTTAGCTTTTTGTGATATTTTAATTTTATGCTGTGCATGTTGCCTGTCGCATTGAATAAAAAATCTATTTCGTTTTTGAACCCCAAACTAGCCTTTGGATATGGGTTCAAACGCTCTATATTTTTGTGACCATATTATAAAATAAAGTATAAAAGAAAATGAACTGAATGAATAAAAAAAAGCGTACGAAAGCAGATTAGAGTACGGCATATGAAGGTGAAATTAAAAAAGCACTTCCTCTCTTCAGAGGAAGAAACTCGCCATCTGCCGTGTTCTGTTTGGACACCCCTTAAGGACTGACCAAACAAGACACTTCAAATGGCGTACAGCGACACAGCACAGTCATATAGCGTGCTGCAATCCGTTTTCATCCGTTTTTTTTTTTAATAAGGATGACCCTTTGTATTGTTGGTGTCCTTGACGTAGACCTGAGCGTGTTCATCACGTGAGTCCGGACAATCTATCACGCGCTCTGTTGGCTATCATCCCACACGGTTGTTGCGGTGTGAGCCTCCCGGAAACGGGAAAGGGAAAGATACGAGTACAGAACGTTATAATACGAGAGAAAAGAGGTGAAACCTCTTTGGCCGTCTCCCGTGGCAACGGCGGCCGCGGGATGAAAGGCCGCCGTCGCCACAGATAGACAGGTACACCATTGGTAGCTAGCGTGTGACGTCAATCATGACGAGGCCCGACGTCACAGAAGAGCGTAGCAGGCGAGGAGGATAGCCGCGCTATTTGTGTAGATGATGTCCAAACTGAAAGCGGAGGGGCGGACGGACACTTTCACTTATATGCTGGAGTTGTGCCGCTTCACGCCCGTTGACGGGCTCGTGCTTCGCGCAGCGCTCGCGGCCTCGAAAACATGCCCGAATAAGGACGGCTTCTGGAGTGCCTCCCGCAGGCCTCCTACTACCCTAGAGGCGTTGCGCCATCCCACGGCGTTTGTCAGAAGTCCGAGCGAGCCTTCGACACACTTTCTCCAAGGCGAGACCGCGCCGTTCAGACGCCTCTCTTCCACCGTGGTGTGTGTGGGCCCTTCATGCGACTTCAATAATGGTCATAGTTTCGAAGTATTTAAAAATAAAAACGAGCGCACTAATTTTCTAATATGCTCAATGCTGTAGTTGCTCAAGGTATCACATTAAGTGCGAAAAGTGCTTTATATAAATGTATTAATGACGGTGTCAGGAGTCTGTTGCTGGCTCCTCAAACACCGAGCAGAAGTATACAAACAAATTGAGGAATAATTGCGTGCGGAAGTCATGACTCCACCCTGGATAAACCATCAGCCTGGTCTAAAAGTCCCATGCATATATACATCAGAAGTGCATCTCTATGTTACGCGCTAAGTTAAATAAGGGTAATATTCAGCGTAACGGCATGTCTTGCGATTTTATCTTTTATCTAGCGAAGGCAAACCACAGTTAAATCTTTTTTAAACCTTTGTCTTGCATTGAAGCAGGCAGAAAAAGGGGAAGCTCGTTTTGCTATTTCTTAACACGAATGCCCTTTCCCGTTCGACATTCGTGACCTGGATTGTGTGGAATACTATTCTTATCTCAAATGGGCCTGGATGTGTACTGCCTAATTTCTATAGGTACGGATAATTAAATAAAATGTCAGACAGCCGTTAAATTTTTATTTATATATTTTTTTGATCGGAAGGACTTATTTAATGTGGAAATTTTCGGCAATTTTAGTTAACACTTGTAATTAAAAATGTATCATATCTCGCTGAAATATATTTAGTTGAAACATAGCTATATTTGGTGGGGTATAATTTATACTATACACCCGTAGAACGTTGAAATTCACGAAAATATGAGGCTGAAGGAAACATCGTCATGATAGCACGGTACCTGGTCTGCATTATAGGCGCAGCGCTTTTGGCGGGCAAGACCTTCGTGTCTTTTGCATTCTAACAGTAACTAGGTAGAAACATCCGCGTCGACATACCGTTTAACGATTATTGATTCAAATCCTCCGCAAATATCTTAATAAAAACCATTGTCTCACACCTTAGCAGAAGTGCTTGTATGCAGGCTACTCTGGGATACACTAGGAACATTTAATATTCTTTAAGTCGGTGAGGGCTTTATCACGCTCTTGGGGTCATGCAGGAATCAAAGAAAGAATAAAAACGCTTAGGGACAGAGACGGACAGCCGAGGTATTTCAACCAGTAACGAACATTTACTGATGTCTCCTTCAATATGTACCATCTCCCTCCCAACTTTTTAAACTAAAGGAGAAGATACATGAATCTTTCATCTTTTTCTTTAGTTTAAAAATGAGGGAGATAGTACGTAATAAAAGAGGAATCAGTGAATGTTCGTGCTAGTTGAAAGAACCGTGCTGTCTGTCCTCGCCCCTAAGTGTTTTTATTCTTTCTTTGATTCTTGGGCTTTCACCAACCCGCTCTTTGTTCTTAGTCATTCAAGCTCAGGGGCTTCTCGGTCTATAAAACAACATGCCGTCTGAACGAGACAGCTCTCGCCGTCTACATTTCCAAGACTAATTTAAAATAAAAGTCAATGACCGGTATTTTAAGTGCACCGGGGTGTGCCACGCATACAGACACTTCTGAGAGTAGCTCTCGTGAGAAAATTGCTATTTACGCCCCCGTGTGAATCAATCTTCGGTTTTGGAATGCCTTCGGTACAACGCAGCGTTGAAAGCCCCCCCACTAAACCTAGCTGCCTGGTATAGGGTGTCACAAATGCTCAAATACACAAAGTAACAGTACGTACATCTTTTTATTTAACGGGAATACTTCCCATACTACTTAATGGCGTCAGGACACGAAAAATATGGGCGTACACTACTTATAAAATGGAATGCTCATGGGTTACTTAGTGCGTATATGCACTACATTTCGCGATTGCTAGAACTCTAGTAATTGCAATGATACGTTTACGGATGTTGATCATTTTCATCTGGCGACCAGGCAACACTGGCAGAATTCTGACGTCGGTGCCTAAGTTAGTTGCACCATGGTGTTCATAAACCAGGTGACCATAATCGCGGAATGAACGTTCTCTCATTCTAGGCTCACTCACGCCCCAATGGCAACCTGGCTGACCCGCTAAGATACTTCGGTTCTTCGGCCTCGGCCCGTGACCTCGGCACGCCGGAGAGGTTTTAACGTAAAAAAAGTTCCAAATGTCTCGCCAAGTTTTTTTTTTGCGGTGGAATGTAGGAATGTAGAGGAGAAACAACAGCGGTTACGTTGTTTTCCGGTTCCGACAACTCCTACGCGAAGGGAGGCAAGGAAACGTAATGCCGCGCGCGATGGCTGGGCTCCGTCGGACGGGATGGTTTTGTTTGCGGACCACTTCACAACTGAGTACGCTCGAGATCTTCGCGGCGACGGCGAGTTTGTCCGCGAAGATCTCGCCGTCGTCGCTGTAGCTTGTTGGCAGCAGGTCGAAGTCAAAATGACCAGCTTCCAACATTTCTAGATAACACTCACTCTCATCGCTGCTGCGATCAGTGTCGAAGGCGCCGGCGAAGCGAGCGATATCGTGGACGCCATCGTCTCGAAACCGTGTGCTCGAAACGAGAAAGGTAAATGAGGAAGCTGAAGCGTGAGACACCGAGATAGCCAAGTCTGCGAGTGCGTGCCAGAAGACGCCGTGCTGCGAGGGACGGTGGGTGAAGTACGTTACCGACCCACAAAACCAACCCGCCTTCCGAATGGGGTGGATGAGAGCGCCTCGTGAATACATCGATTTATCCGCGAAACTATCACGTCATCTGAAAAACAAAATAAATTTAGCAAAATTATAGGACCATGCAATTGGTTATAGCGTATTGTTATCTCATTTTTATTTTTGGCGCGTCCTAACCCCTTCAATATCTGTTAAGTTTCATAAAACGCTCAACGAGATGTTTATGCTGTTTTATTTCGAATGAATTGCAACACTTCAGCGTTAGCGTTGACATACGGGTGAAAAAACTGGGTAAATTGGGCCGAAGGACGACGCTGGTATCTCATTGTGCGATTCTGCAAAATGTAAGCGCAAAAAAAAAAAAAAAAAAAAAAACAGCAACAGAGACGTGCTTTTCTTTCTGAAACTTTTTTTCAGTACGGGAGTGCCCACTACCGCTCCTGCGGTGGAAGAAGCAAAAGTACGTACGCGAGCTGTTCTGCAGAGGCACAAAAAGACTATAAAAGCTCGAGCTTATGTGTATATACATATATGCCTGTATTAAACTCACAAAATATGGTTTATCATTCTTTTTTTAAGGCTGCGCACAATTGTGGCAGGTCTGTGGTGTACCATTTGAAAAATTGCGCCAAAGGGAATTTTCTGAGAAGCCTTATTTGCTATGTTCGCTTGTCACGCTTTTATTTTACGGCGGTAGCGTTGGTGTTCTTTCTATGCAAAACAAAACTAATCTTCGACCGCAAAACCCTACTCTACGGCGGAGGAACTGCGTCCCCTCTCGCCGTCGTTCCTGCTGCATCTTCCGGAGGGTACGTGGGTACATCCATGTACCCTCGTACCCTCCGGAGACGCACACCCACTCCCTTCCTCCTCCGCCCATCCCCTGCCTCCCCATCCCTCCTGTAGCCCTCATTGCAAAATACCCTAATTGTCGCGCTATGTGGACATGCTCCCCGCCTCCCCAGTGCCGCCGCCCAGCGGCCCAGATTCCACTCTCGAGTGCTTTTCGCGCCTCTAGAGAACAGCTCGTGTACGTACTTTCGCTTCTTCCACCGTAGGAGCGGCCATAGGCGTCCCCGTACCACAAAAAAAAAAAGAAAAAAAAAAAAACTCAGTAAAAAAAAAATGCACGTCTTTGTTTTTTTTTTTTTTAACACTTGCAACATCTTTTACCATCGTGCTGCCAAAGCACATATCGATTCACACTGGTCTCCTACAGGATTCCATTGAAATCAAAGCATTAAATGAAAACATTGTGCAGCACACTTGCGGAAGGAAAATCTCCTTCAACATGCCTTTTCACTGCGCAGCAGCAACCGCTGTCAACCGCAGCACATTTTCTGTGGTCGTTTGGAGTTTCTGTACTGCACGAACTGGGACTATACTTACCCCAAGAAAAGACTTCGCAAGTTCGGGAAGTTCACCACTAAGGGACTTTGTGTAGGAATTTGGTTCGATGGGGCACTCGTTGTTCCACAAGGACCCGAGCGTTTTTTCGACAATGCTAGTTCCGCCACACATGTCATACGTGCTGGAACAGGACGTAAATTATTGAGAGAAAAAGAGACGTAAGTCACTGATAACCACGCAGTTAAAATGGCGGTGCAACGATTTTTAACGTTTAACCAATTAACTGCGGAAGTCAATCTGCCTCACCCATGGAACGAAGAACAGAAAACCGTCTTTTCTTGCGAGAAGTAGTTTTTACGTAAAAAATGAAACAAATCGAAGATCAAAGTGTCTCTCACCTCTCCACGTCGCCTTACGAGTGACGTACTCTGGGGGATCACGTGGTTTCCCTTTGGGATCTCTCTTTAGACACCCCAGCCGCTTCCTCCGCGATTATCGACTTTTCAAGTATTAGCATCGTCGAAGGTCGCGGCGGTCGATCGACACAAAAGACGGTTCGCCACCGGGCTGACGGCGAGTGTAGCAGCTGAGGGGAACAGGTTTTGTTCACTTCCGCGTATCCCCAGAGTACGTTACAGATCGATCAGTTCCGTTAACCACCACAAGCGGTTGCAGATCGACAAATATTTTGTTTTCTTCTTTGCAATTACGCACCGGAATAGCAGTTTTTCGGGGCAAGGTGACGCGTTTTTGGTCACTTCTGCTTGAATAAACAATATAAAAAATACAAATCGCCAATTCTTTCAACACTAAAATCGTTGCACTGCCCCTTTCAAGTTACTATACGGCTTGCAAGTTCCTCTGCTCCTTACGCACCCTACGGGTTCTCTACATTGCCCTTTGATTGGCGTACTCCTCCTTGTGCTCCGATGCGCCGAAGACGCATTTTGGAACACTTGCTAGCCGTATAGTCGGTGACAGGTTAAAAGGTCAGGAAAATCTTCCAGCTCTTTCTGCTTCAGCGAAACAAAAGCTGGAGAGGAGGCGACCTTCTCTTCAGCGTTCGCTTTGCTAATATAGAAAGAGATGGGATCAGCTTCCCGTGAAATCTTCTCCTGTCACCAACTACTCACTTGTGAAACTCCCACAGAGAAGCGAACCCCTCCCCCTCTCCTACCTCCCCCTTTCCCCCCAAAGGCCACCCCCGTCGTTCGAAGCGCCACCCAGAGGCTGTAGTTCAAAACTGCATTCTTTGGAGACGCTCAATAAGACCTAGAAGACAAGGGCTGCGCCTCTCCCCACCAAACATCTTCACTCAATTGGTCTAAATAGCGCCGCCATAGCTTGCGTCAGCATCGCCGCCCGCGCGTCTCGCAGTATCTCACAGAAAGCGCGACGCTATGTGGAGCGCAAATTCGTCTGCTTTTTGCACAGTGGGTTGCGATGATATCAGAACTCCAAACTCTTATTGGCAGATAAAAAAATATATAGTGGATAGACCCTAAGTCATCTAGTACATATTGAAGTCTACCCAATACCCTTCCAATCAAAGCCAATCAGAACTCAGCGTCGTTCTGACGTCACCGCAACTCCAGTGCAAGAAGCAGATGACTTGCTCTCAGCATAGCACCTGGCGACGCCAATACGAACGCGTCTGGTGCGTTGCGGCTTGTCGAGCTTCGACGTTTTAGCTCTTTGGGGCGGGTTGAAGACCCACTAACGATGACATCACACGCAGGCCTTGTCTTTTAGATGCCGTTGAGACATTCAGTGTAGCGCCATTTGGGCGCTGTGCTTCAAAACCAGTGTAAATATAGGTACCCCAGCACCCGTATTCAAAATGATGGCAGGTCGACCGACTGGAGGCGGACCTTCGGGGTAAATGGGTTTACTGGCCGTGGAAGCAGCCTCTCTGGACATTTCCGTAACCGAGTGGATTTATACTTTCTTTCGCCTTAAGTCCGAGCACAGCCGACGCTACGAGTTGGCAGGACCAATGGAACAGCGTAAAAAGTGCAACGTCATGCCTAGACTATTTTTTTAGAGCGCAGCACTTAAGCGCCCGTTTTGAGCAGCGTCGGCGCCTTCGTAACCGCGGGCGTTGCATTATGGGACGTCATAGTTTCTCCGCTAAATTTAGTGGGCAAACCGAATTGGTGTTCAGGTCACGCGACGTCAATTTCCCCGCTAAATTTAGCGGGGAAATTTTCGCTCAGTTTAGCGGGAAATCTAGCGAAGATTTCCCGCTAAATGGGAGGCGAGGAGGAGGGGAGGGTACGGAGGGGCAGGAGAGGCATACCCTCCCCTCCGAACCCTCCCCTTCTCCTCCTTAAGAACTGCGCTCCAATTTCACGTTACAGAAAATTGTGAACGGTTTTATTTTTTTTTACTTCCTCGCAGTCATGATTGTCCCAAGCTATACTTTAGCATCTCCTATATCCTGACGTTCGGCGCAGTGAACGCAGTGTAGTACAGAACGAGGGCCTTTCATTGGCCGGCAAGTAGGAACCCGATATCTGCGACCAATCAGTATTGTGTTCGCTACGCTACGCTGTGTTTGCTGCGCTCGACGTCTGAGTATCGATTAACACACTGCTTATAAACAAGACCGCGCTTGCCCACACTGCACTCTAAAAGAATCCCTTCCGTCTTTTTTCCCGCACAACAAACGAAGAGCCAATCACCGGAACTTACGGAGGCAGCTCAGCGAATGAGGATCAGAAACATGATTAAATCAAAAGACACAGTCAGAGTTGTGACATTAAGCAATGCAAGCGTGACGTTTTGCATTGCTTAATGTCACAACTCAGATTGTGGTTTTTCGTCTAAACATCTGTTTCGGCATAGTGACAAGTCATTCGCTGAGCTGCCTCCCTAAGTTGCGCTGATTGGCTCTCCGAGTGTTGTGCGTGAAAGTGGACGCACAGACTTTTTTAGAGGGGGTCTGGGCACTGCGCGGGTGCAGAAACCAGATTCGCGCAAATCCAAGCATCTGCGCATGCCCAGTATCGACAGCAGCGCCACCGCAGTGGTGTGACGTCGGAGGGTTGAGTTGGTCAAAGCCTTTTGTTTTACCTCTGGACGCTGAAGACGCCACGAGCTGATGGACCATTCAAATAGCGTCAATAGCTCACCAAACATAGTGCTTGTTGTGTTTTTTTACGCGTTCTATCATTGCTGGACCAATCATGTATGGGAAGACCCAGTGGCTCGCGTATTTGACGGTGTTTTATTGGCATCATCTCCTTTTAACGTCGTCTAGCAGGAATTTCCACGCCTGGTTTTACTAATTGTAAGTCATGGCACGGTCGAAGGGTAAAAGACGCGCAAGCGCATGCACACAGACTAAAATCAGATTGTCACGGGCGGTGCATTTTCTGAATCTAATGGAATTTGACGCGAAGAGAAAACCTAAACAGGTTGAAGGCCAGTTCACACACTTGCGACTGCGTACGACCGCGAGTGCCTTCTTAGGATCTTTTACGGGTGCAGAGGCGTATATAGAAAGAGTTCGGCCAGTTTATGATTTCGCCGCCCTAACGCCCCCCTCCCAAATGAGCCAATCAGCCGGCGGCGCAGAGCGAAAGGCGTGAGCGCGAGCGCGTGAGCGCGAAACGCGTGAATTCCCGCCTGCTCCCAAAAGAGCGGAGAAGGCAGCCATTTTCATTCATTCGCCCGGTGGAATGCTTAGGATCGGCCCCTAAATTTCAGGTATTTCCATTAAATTGCTGGCCCCGGCAAGAAAGTGATATACTGTTATTCTTCGGTGGGTTAAAGAGCTAACATATGAAGTTTTCTCGATGTCTGACCGCAAACTTTTATGCAGGCGAAAAGGGAGTCAGCCCGCAGCAGACGACGCGTAGCTTTAGCAGTGCTCTGTACGGAAAGCGTGTCGCATCAAAATGGCGCTCGTCTCCTCCTTTGCTCCCTCTTTCCTCTCTCGCTCCTTTGGCGCTCTTCTTCACTTTTCTCCTCTCCGGCGCCTTCGTCGCCACACCCACTGGCCAGACTCTCCCCATATACAGCTCTGTACGGGTGAAAACACTGACGCCATCTATCCGGTGACTGTGGCGTTTTCGTATTTTCCAATCTTTATGGCGCGTCATTTTTTTTTTCTTTTTTTGCTTGACAAACTTTTGTTACTTGTAGAAACGACAATTTTTCGTAGTATCCGTACATTTCATCACGAAAATACCGCAAAACCTTTGCTCTAGAGAAATGCAGTTCTAGTGTAAGAGGTCGCAAGACCTCGGTCCGAAGCCGATGCAAGTGTGCGTGGACGGGCCTTTATACTTGGGACCGCGTTGGGCGTTACGCGGGCCCTCGAAGCCCATCCATTGGGGTGCGACTGCCACGTCACTTTTTTGGGAGGCGTAGAGACTCGCGGGACGCCTCGTCTCGCGATATGTTTACGGGTTATGATTATACAGCTCGTGGCGCCCTCCCCGTCCCATTGCAGACTACAACGAAATACAGCCCACAGCATCTGTATGACATGGCGCATTTGCTCGTTTGATTCTATGAGTCAGCGGGGCTTCAGTTCGGAGTTTCGGCTTAGAGTAGCCAATCTGTTTATGGGCCCCGCGTAAGTTTGGAAACGATGAAAAAAAAAAAAGTCGTCATTGGACAGGAATATTTTAACGATGCAATATATCGAAATAGATATATCACCATGCTATGCAATATATACGTACCAAGAGCCGATCAAATTAAATAAGCAGCCTATTTCTTGCCCGTTGTTTTTGGTCGCGGTTACCGTGAGTTGAGGACTGCTCTTTAATTCTTGGGTAATGTCCAACGTGAAATCCACAGTCATGGTCTGTCCCAGCACAGCATTTGTGAGTTTAAGGTCGCTAAGCTTGAAGCCTTGAACATCTGCAAGGCAAATTCAGTCGGGTGATATTGCATAGTTGGGCAAACTTGCATGTGCGACCGGATCGAAATTAAACACCTTGGATACTCTGAACCCGCGAGCAAATATAAAGCTTGTTCTTTCTTTCTTTGTACGCCTTAGGTTTTAGTTTAACATATCTATAGTCGGTGATAGGGTAAGAGTTCAGGGCGAGGTAAAGAGCGGCTGGAGAGGATGATTCAGGCGAAATGCTGGATCGAAGAGGATGTTTCCTCCTCCTCTCTCGAGCAATCCATGTGCTTCCTTCTCCCCGGCCTTACTTTCCCTCGCCGTGAGCTCTTAACCTGTAACCAAGTATAGACTAAAACGCTCGTGAATGTAAATAACTAGTAGCGAGCTTATTTGTCAAGTTCGAGTATCTAACATTAGACATACAATCTCAGCTCGTTATGATTTGTAACCATTTCTTCGAGGTAGGCCAAAGTAGTGGTTATACCTAAAAAAAAATACTTTTGAATACAATATGCTTTTGAGTTTTAGTGTCAAATTTAAGATCTTCACAAACCAAGACAGCAAAATTCAACTGTACAAGGGCGAAAACCGTTTCTCCCTGTATTGACCCGATTGACCTAATAATATGAATCCGATCAGGCGAAGGCGCGATATTCGGAAGTTACGTGATCACACCTAGGGCTTTTCGTGCTTTGCTGTCTCTTTGAAAGCGTAGCTTTTGGTGTTCGTTTCCTTCTTAACTTCGGTACGGTGTGCTTTGCAGGGTCTAAACCCGCCACTAAATAAAGGTGACGAGAGTTCGTTTTTCAGGTGAAATTTTCTTTAAAATATCGCGAATTTTCGTTTTGCTTTTATTATGGTCGCAAATAATTTGTCTTCCGAAAGTAAAAATTTTTTAGAAATAATGCGTGTTTTTTTATTATGAACATTATTATTATCGTTTAATGTTATCCATCTATTCGGAAACCTTCTGCGGGAAGAAACAATCGCGTGCTCTTTTGTAAGAATAAAGGATATACCCAAGAATATAACCAATCTTTCTTTTTCCGCCTTAGCACTACGACAGTGCATTCTATTCGGAATATAGTTGAGTTGGCCGGTAACACAACAGGCCAACAGCTGAAGTATGTAACCTATTATAGAAGTGGAAACAAAATCATATGTGTTTGGTGTCTTCTTGTTATTAGATGCTCATAATAGATGACCCCTATTGCAATGCTCCTTCCCAAAGAACTTGGATAGATAAGCGTCTTGAACTTCCATTATGCGTGGCAAGAGGTAGGGCCACACAACGTTGAGACGTAGGAATTTTTTTTTTTTCGCATTTCAAACACTTTACGCCTGTTGCGCAAGTGTTTCTAGTCTTGTTCACTCTAAAAAAAAGTCTGTGCGTCTGCTTCCACGCACAACAATCGGAGAGCCAATCAGCGCAACTTAGGGAGGCAGCTCAGCGAATGACAATGCCGAACCATATGTTTAGACCAAAAAACGCAGTCTGAGTTGTGACATTAAGCAATGCAAGCGTGACGTTTTGCATTGCCTAATTTCACAACTCAGACTGCGTTTTTTGCTCTAAACAGATGTTTGCGCATCGTCATTTGCTGTAAGTTGCGTTGATTGGCTCTCCGAGTGTTGTGCGTGAAAGTAGACGCACAGATATTTTTTAGTGTTGTTGTGTCCCTCTATCTGGTGCGTATACAATATTCAAAGAAAAATAACTTAAATCATTTTAGAAATAAATATAATGGGCCATTTTTTATTATTTCGCCATGCAGTAAGTCCCGCCAGGGTCCCAGCAGTTGTGAACACAGGGCTCAATGGAAAAGACGAACTTCTAACCGGCGAACCAAAACGGTGGTGAAAAAATTGTTTGAGATCGCACTAATTATTTACATAAAATGCATTCAAGTGTTTCGCTTTCTATAGTCATTTGAACGAGTGAGCGGGTTTTGACCTAAGGTTTTCATTTTTTCGCACGCTTTAATCCCTAGAGTGACATTTCTCGCCTAAATGCTTGTGAGCGTTTTGTCGTTCAGTTGCGTGGAGTGTCACAAACGTGCTTACCCGAGCAAGGTGTGAGCTCCGGAGTCTCAATTGAAGCCGAGCAGAATCCGGCCAGAGCCAACAGTGTGCCGACGTGGACAAAGACCATGGTGTGCTCGGTTGAAGGGGCTCGACGTCAAACACCGTACTAGATGAGACCAGACTGGTATCGCATTTATACGCATAAATTGAGACTGCAGAAAAAAAGCATTAATAAAGAAAAGAAAATACACGAGAGGCATTCTGTAGCGGTATTAAATCTGGAAAAACTAGTCACGGTGCACTTTACGATATTATATTTTTTCATGGCTGCCGCAACATAGTAGACCGGAAAAACAGGTCAAAGTACCAAGGGGCACAAACAGGATGCAGCCAAGGCTAGGACCGAAATCTAAAATTAATAACCGGATGAATGCGAATGAAAGGCTGAAATGTGAATAGTGAAATGTTGACTCGGTATCAATTCGCAGAAATACATCCTGGCAATGATAGAAAGTTAAGTGATTTATTTGCTTTTGTTAGAACCTGCGAAATCCAATTCATATTCTTTATTTTTTCTTCAAAAATAAAGGAAGGGATCGAGAGAAAAAAACCCGCTAAATTGCTCACAGTTATCGGTAAAAAATAACATTGACTTTACAGGGCGCAAGAAAACAGAGCACATATCATTCATAACTTGTCATGATGTCTTGGTGCGATCACGCATGCTTCAGCGAATTATGTTCAGCTTGAACCATGGTAGTCTTGGAAAACCCTGTTCTATGGGCGTTACTGTCGGGCGCGTGCGACCCTTTATTTTTTCGACTTCTGAATGATCCGCCGCAACACACCGTAAGCGCAGCTACGTTCGAATGTTGAGCGCATCCGTTTATATTTCCTGGGGTTGCGCCCCGGCGCGCTGCGCGTCGGCGCGCATTGTACCGCAAGCAACTGGTTCCTGCCGGAGTGACGCCGTTCCGCACGAAATGGATTCCTTAGGACGACGTCTTCACGGACCAATAAATGTCTACCCTCATAAACGCTACCAATCTGAAGAATAGCGAAAATGCAGAAAAAAAGGAGAAGATACTTTACAAAGCCTTAAAATTACGGCATTTAGCTACAGGCGTTCTATTCCTTCTATATTCGAATTGACTACGAGGTAACTGACCAGTACTAAAGAGTATTCTGCAGTTTTTGTTTTTAAAATAATTTAAAACATACGAATGTGCTATTTGAGCAATCAACAGGAAAAGATAAAGCAATGACGCTCGTGTGGGTCGGAGTTCCAATTTATATAAAATAAGAAAAGGTAGTTTTGATTCTCTCTTTTCCCTGTGCTGTGGGTAGGTTGGTAGACCCTAAGTCAACGTGGAAGTATTTTAGTAACGTCGAATGGCAAGGCTCTAGATGGAAGTTGTCGAAGGAAAAAATCATGAAAGTAAAAACGTCCCTTGCCACGTGTAATTTATGCTTGAATCAGAAGGGTACACGCAGTGGAGGATTCAGAGGCGGATCCGGATGTCCTGACCCCCCTCGGGAAATACCTGCATCCGCCCCTGCGTACATACATTATGGTAAATCTTGCGTGTGTAACTAAAAGGTAACATTTTACAATTACAATTACTTTTGGTTAAAAATATTCGGTTTGATTTACCTGAATATACTTAACAAGAAAAGTAACTCCCCGTTACATAAAAAAAAATTCTTTACATTACCGATTGCTTGAGATTTTTCAAAGGACAGATTTTCTCGTGGTTGAAAACTTCCATTTCGTACTTATTTTTTTAAATTAGAGACACCGGATTACAATTCACTCGTGTTATTAATACACTAACTTTTGTAGATCATCCTCCTGACGGTTTCTTGGTTCGAGAATATTTAGTAGAAAACTTACAGAAACAAAGCGTGCCATTAGCGAGAGGAGGGGAAATTGGCAAGGGTTACAAGTAATTTTCGTACTTCCAAATGTAATCGGATTACTTTTGCGGTTACTTTCTGATAAAAAGTAATCAAACGATTACAAAATAACGTTAAGCAGTAATCGATTACAAGTAATTTGATGAGTTTTAATGAGCACGTGCCGTACAAGTCTGATTCCGGTTTACATCATGCTTACTGAAGAGAAACCATGCAACACCGAAGCATGGTCTGCAAACATCACCTTGTTATTTTTAATGTGACCTCGTATTCCTTCTCAGGTTCCACATTGCCTTAAAAGGGCACTGACGCGGAAACAAAAAAAAAAAGTTTACTTTTAAAAGTCATAAATTGGACACTTCATTTTTTTTTTAATTTTCCACGAAAAATGTTTTTCTTTTTTTTGCAAAATATTTACGCCGTTAGACGCAATTTAGGTGGATATCACGGGCCTAAGCCCCTCCCACAGATCACTGGCCCCGACCATCACTACTGGATTTCTTTTCTTTTCTTTTCTTTATTATTCTTTTCTTATTCTTTTTTTAAATACACAATCGTAGCTTGGACCCATAGCCGTGGAGGCTAGTCGCGGGTCCAACATTAGAAATAACCTCTACAATGCGGCAGGCAAACAAAACAAATGTACGCACATATCAAAGTATTCACAAAACAATATACATACTAATTGAGAAAAAAAATATATAGGGCATGATATTGAACTTAATCATTGGCTCGCAATTTAATTAAATACTTCTTTAAGGATGGCAATATATTGGGTTTACATTTGATGTCGGTAGGGATATCATTCCATACCAGGGCACCGTTGAATTCAATAAGGCTTTCTCCATAAACATTTCCACAAGATGGCAAATTAAACAGATTATTTGTTGCAGCTCTCGTATTCCGTGGCTTGGCTGCGTGGGCCAACACGCTCGCAAGCCTAGTGTCTCCCTGTCACGACGGCCGGTGGGTCTAGTTTCGCGTATCACACCGCCTGCTAGCCGTGCGAGCAGACGCGCGGCACAGCCACTAATCTTTATGTCTATCTACTGGATCACGGTTGACCAGCTCCGCCTATGGACGGGAATGCGGCCATGGTCGGCCATCTTTTTAGTAGAGTTATATTATCTCTAGCCATCATAGTAATATGGCGGACACAGCTGTGGCGGCAGGCTGCTATAAAAATAGCCGTGGGTCTAGTAGACTGTACCGTGGGTGATAGTTCTTGCTTGAAGTTGTTTGACGAATCAGATTCTCGAAACCCGGCGTGAACGGTAGCCCCATCTTTGAGGCACCGGGGGAAACCAGCGCAGCTCGCATCGAAAGCAGACGCACTCTTAGAAAAAGGGGTATCCACAGTCCTCCCGAAAGGGAGGAACGGTCTTGTAACCTATGTTCCTACAGAAAGGAAGAAACTTTCGTCCCTAAAGCAGGGGAGCAAAAGTTCCTCCGTCGCCTGCATCTCATTATAGCGGCCCTGAATCGAGCACATCGAGCTCAATAAGGCCTATTGAGGACGCTACGTCTCTTGCACAGGGCGAGAGGAGGAGCAAATAAGAGCGTAACAGGAGCTTTCCGCGCACTGTGCTTATTTCTGAAGGCAGGTCCCCCCCACAGGCAAAGAGTCTTCCGTTTTAAAAATGGTTACTCAGTCTTCTCGTCGTCAGCACTGCGATGTTAAACGGAGACCACCGATGCCCAGTTACGTCGCGCACGTTACGTCTTACCTTTGCTATTCCTCGAGTCACAATGCCTTCGTAAACTGCAAATCACGGAGTGGTAAACCATTCGTGATACCGAAAGCCGCTCTAAAAAGAGCGAATTCGAAGCAGTTGTTCCACGATAACCATTGCGCTGAACTTTTGCCGAATCGAAAATTCGGCGACGATTCTTGGGACTCAGCAAAGTCGAACTTTTGCCGAACCTTTCTCAAGATTCGGCAATGAATTGTATTTGACTGGAGTCTGCGGCTTTCCCCTTTGCATCGGGTGATCAACAGTAATTGATACTGGATCTAGCCTGGTCAGTCGTGCCTCCCGCGACTTCCGCTTCCGCTTGGTGTTCCGTTGGTCGGCTGCAGTCCCTCCGCCGATGTGTCTCTCTCCACCAGACCTCTAGCCGCCTTTTCGTCACCTCTTTCGCCGGCCGAACGTTCTTTTGTTCTTCCTCTCCTTGCTCTTCACCGATACGGAACCCCAGTGCTACTGGTAGCACCGTCGCACTGGGGACCGGTACAATCTGCTGGCAATGCAGCACCAGATGCTCCGTCGCCTCGTCGGTCTGCCCGCAGATTGTGCACGTCCTCTCCTGTACTTCCGTGAACCTGGCTCTCCACACCCGGGTCCGTAATGTACCCATGCGGGCGTCTGCGAGGAGTCCACTTCTTGTCGAGCTGTCGTACCAGGGCTCTTTCCTTATGGCCTCCTTCTCTGCGTAGTACATCACGTGGGACGGCTTCCCCGCCGCTCCCGTTCTCCACCTCTCCGTTTCCACTGCTCTGATGCCCTCGCTGATTACCACTGGGCCCACCCGGGTCTCGCACGCTGACTCCAGCCAGATCGATTCGAATCCATAGTGGTCCCGCAGCCTTCGGAGGCGGTGCATCCATTTGGAGCCTCTTTCCTGGTATAGCATGTAGCGCAGGGTGCGGTGGGCCCAATTCCTATCCGGGAGTCTGTGCACTCTCATCTCGTACAGTGCCTTGGCACTGGCTTCTCTGGCTTCAAAGGACGACCAGCCTAGGTCCCCCTGGATACCTTCGTTGGGTGCTGTTTTTGAGACTGCCAAGGCAATCCTTCCCACATTTTTCTGTCTTCTCTCCAGGAATTCTCTTGTTTGCGACGAGGGGACAAGCACGCCATTCGCGTACGTGAGTCCCAAAACGATGGCCATGTACCACAGTCCCCGCACCATTTCGAACCTGTTGAAGGTGCAGGTCGTCTTCTTCGCCAGGACTCCTTTCCCCCTTATCGCTTCTAGTCTCTTCTCCCGTACATGGGCCTTCAGGTAGTTGGACTCCGCAGTCAGGGTCGCTCCCAAGCAACCCTGTCGGGGTTTTGTCTTATCAATTTCCCTCCCTGCGGGTGCCACCGTTGTTCCTGTGGTTCTTGATTCCGTCTATCTCGATCTCCCCAGACTAAGCCCGCACATTTGCTCTGGTTGAAACGGAGTCTAAGGTGCGTGTTAAGCTCCACACAGATGTCCCGAAGCATTT